AGACTTCTCAACAGCTTCTACCCCCAAGCCATAAGACTCCTGAACAGCTAATCATGGCTACCCGGACTATTTGCACTGCCCCCCCACCCCATACTTTTTACGCTGCTGCTACTCTGTTAAGTATTTATGCATAGTCACTTTAACTCTACCCACATGTACATATTACCTCAACTACCTCAACTAGCCGGTGCCCCCGCACATTGACTATGCAACGGTACCCCCCTGTATATATAGCCTCCCTACTGTCACTTTATTCTATTGTATATATAGCCTCCCTACTGTCACTTTATTTTTACTTCTGCTCTTTTTTTCTCAACACTTTTTTGTTGTTGTTTTATTCTTACTTTTTTGTTTAAAATAAATGCACTGTTGGTTAAGGGCTGTAAGTAAGCATTTCACTGTAATGTCTGCACCTGTTGTATTCGGCGCATGTGACCAATAAAATTTGATTTGATTTGATTAGTTGTGGGTTCTTGTTCCGTGTAAGGTTTGTTGTGTTGTGCCTTTGGACTTCACGGTTTGTTTCCTTTGTTGTTTTGTCGTGTGTTTATCGTTAATAAACATGTACGCATATCACGCTGCGCCTTGGTCCGACCCGTCATTGAACGAACGTGACAGCGATAGTGGCCTTTTTCATTTGGAATGAAGACCGTTCTCCGTCCTCTCTCCTCCGTCATCTCTCCTCCTTGACGCGGAAACCAATAAGTGGTGAAGAAGTGTTTCAGTTAGAAGGCCCTCCCGTCTTCTATAGCCTCCTTTTGGCCAGGAAGCACAAGTGTATCCTACCACGGGAAAAGGGAATTCGGGGCGTTCCTGCATCTGGGCCTTTCTGCATCTGCAGGAACCCCTCTTTACACTTCTATTGGTCCATTTTTAAGCTCGGACTCCGTTACACAAGCAGGAGCCATGAAGTGCTTTGAAATGCTGGTCATGGCTCACATCAACACCCTTATCCCAGAAACCCTAGACCCCACTCCAATTTGCATACCGCCCAAACAGATCCACAGATGATGCAATCTCTATTGCACTCCACACTGCCCTTTCCCACCTGGACAAGAGGAACACCTACGTGAGAATGCTACTCATTGACTACAGCTCAGCATTCAACACCATAGTGCCCTCAAAGCTCATCAATAAGCTAAGGACCCTGGGACTAAACACCTCCCTCTGCAACTGGGTCCTTGACTTTCTGACGGGCCGCCCCCCAGGTGGTAAGGGTAGGTAACAACACATCTGCCACGCTGATCCTCAACACAGGGGCCCCTCAGGGGTGCGTGCTCAGTCCCCTCCTGTACTCACTGTTCACTCATGACTGCATGGCCAGGCACGACTTCAACACCTTCATTAAGTTTGCCGATGACACAACAGTGGTAGGCCTGATCACCGACAACGATGAGACAGCCTATTGGGAGGAGGTCAGAGACCTGGCCATGTGGTGCCAGGATAACAACCTCTCCCTCAACATGATCAAGCCAAAGGAGATGATTGTGGACTACAGGAAATGAAGGACCGAGCATGCCCCCATTCTCATCGACAGGGCTGTAGTGGGGCAGGTTGAGAACTTCAAGTTCCTTGGTGTTCACATCACCAACAAACTATCATGGTCCAAACACACCAAGCCAGTCGTGAAGAGGGCACAACAAAACCTATTCCCCCTCAGGAGACTGAAAAGATTTGGCATGGGTCCTCAGATCCTCAAAAAGATTCTACAGCTGCACCATCGAGAGCATCCTGACTGGTTGCATCACTGCCTGGTATGGCAACTGCTCGACCTCCGACCGCAAGACACTACAGAGGGTAGTGCGTATGGCCCAGTACATCACAAACTTTCCTGCCATCCAGGACCTCTATAACAGGCGGTGTCAGAGGAAGGCCCTAAAAATGGTCAAAGACTCCAGCCACCCTAGTCATAGACTGTTCTCTCTGTTACCGCATGGCAAGCGGTACCGGAGCGCCAAGTCTAGTTCCAAAAGGCTTCTTAACAGCTTCTACCCCCAAGTCATAAGAATCATGAATAGCTAATCAAATGGATACCCGGACCATTTGCTTATGCATTGTTTACTTTACACGTATTTTTCTTAAAACTGCATTGTTGGTTAAGGGCTTGTAAGTAATCATTTCACTGTAAGGTCTACACCTGTTGTATTCGGCATATGTGACAAATACAATTTGATTTGATTTGATTTTGACTGCGTGAATCAGGCCTTCATAGTTGAATTGCTGCAAAGAAACCACTACTAAAGGACACCAATAAGAAGCAGAGACTTGCTTGGGCCAAGAAACACGAGCAATGGACATTAGACCGGTGGAAATCTGTCCTTTGGTCTGATGAGTCCAAGTGTGAGATTTTTGGTTCCAACCGCCGTGGCTTTGTGAGACGCAGAATAGGTGAACGGATGATCTCTGCATGTGTAGTTCCCACCTTAAAGCATGGAGGAGGAGGTGTGATGGTGTGGGGGTGCTTTGCTGGTGACACTGTCTGTGATTTATTTAGAATTCAAGGCACACTTAACCAGCATGGCTACCACAGCATTCTGCAGCGATACTCCATCCATCTGGTTTGCGCTTAGTGGGACTATCATTTGTTTTCAACAGGACAATGACCCAAAACACACCTCCAGGCTGTGTAAGGGCTATTCGACCAAGGAGAGTGATGGAGTGCTGCATCAGATGACCTAGCCTCCACAATCACTGGACCTCAACCCAATTGAGATGGTTTGGGATGAGTTGGACCGCAGAGGGAAATAAAAGCAGCCAACAAGTGCTCAGCATATGTGGGAACTCCTTCAAGACTGTTGGAAAAGCATTCCTCATGAAGCTGGTTGAGAGAATGCCAAGAGTGTGCAAAGCTGTCATCAAGGCAAAGGGTGGCTACTTTGAAGAATCTCAAATATAACATATATTTATTTTTGTTTAACACTTTTTTGGTTACTACATGATTCCATATGTGTTATTTCATAGTTGTGATGTCTTCACTATTATTCTACAATGTAGAAAATAGTAAAAAATAAAGAAAAACCCTTGAATGAGTAGGTGTGTCCAAACTTTTGACTGATACTGTACGTGTTCGTGTTCGTGTATTAGTGTGTAAACGGACGCTACCGACTTCAGTCCCAAGAGAGAAAAACGGAGAACACCATCTTGGTCGTGAGCAAAACGGAGAACACCATCTTGGTCGTGAGCAAAACGGAGGACACCATCTTGGTCGAGAGCAAAACGGAGGACACCATCTTGGTCGAGAGCAAAACGGAGAACACCATCTTGTTCGTGAGCAAAACGGAGAACACCATCTTGGTCGAGAGCAAAACGGAGAACACCATCTTGGTCGTGAGCAAAACGGAGAACACGATCTTGGTCGAGAGCAAAACGGAGAACACCATCTTGATCGTGAGCAAAACGGAGAACACCATCTTGGTCGAGAGCAGAACGGAGAACACCATCTTGGTCGTGAGCAAAACGGAGAACACCATCTTGGTCGAGAGCAGAACGGAGAACACCATCTTGGTCGTGAGAGTCTCATCTTTCCATGGAGGGGAAGGAGGCCAATCAGCTGCCATCATGGTAACCCAGGGAGTGGAGAGAGGGGTTTGTAGGCCGATAGGAAACTACTGAATATTTTGTGAGAAGACTCTTACATGTAAAACTGCTTTGCTTCGTCTTACTTACTCTTACTCTTTAGAAGAAGTAAAATAGTTTGAATAGTTTATCTGCTGACTACTACAGGTGTGAAGGAAGAAAACGTGTCTGCTAAATGGCATTTATTTTTGAAGGAGCTGCTAGCCAGTTGACTATTACACAGCAGAAACTCAATGTTGTAAGGTCAACCGTTTAAATAAACATTATCTGTATTTAAGGAGAACTAGAGATTTCATCAGATCTTGGGATAGAAAATAATAAGGTAGATGTTGTTCTTGGTCAAAAAGCTCATGAAACTAGAAAACATTTATCTATAAACCTGGAAGAGCTGTTGGGGGTTTTAGGTAACACACGCACACACATCATCCACCTGTTCTTGCCAAGTTGTCCCACGCATCTACCTCCTTCTTTCTTGTTGGCTAAAGACCACATAGTCCCATCACACCAGTCCAACCTCAACCCCGATCGAACACCTTTGGGAGGAATTAGAACACCGACTGCGAGCCAGGCCTAAATCGCCCAACATCAGTGCCCCACCTCACTAATGCTCTTGTGGCTGAATGGAAGCAAGTCCCCGCAGCAATGTTCCAACATCTAGTGGAAAGCCTTCCCAGAAGAGTGGAGGCTGTTATAGCAGCAAAAGGGGGGACCAACTCCATATAAATGCCAGTGATTTTGGAATGAGATGTTCGACGAGCAGGTGTCCACATACTTTTGGTCATGTAGTGTATCAAAAGATATCACACTGAGAGACCCAGAGCAAGAAGCAAGGAGGTGTTCCAGCAAAAAACATGATTACCACAATCTCTCTGTCTCTACGGAGATGTCAGTTGGCGTGTGAGGTCATGAAGAACAATAGTTGTATTACAAAAGAGCAAACACGTCAAAGAATAATTGTCATTTGATTTAGCAATGAGTCATGTGAGATATGAAAAGACTACTGGCGCTTACCTCACAGTGTTACAAAATGTTTACCAGAAGGTTTCTGCCCTAATTCTGGGATTCACGTTCACACAAGCACGTATGACTGTAAATCGCTTTGGATGAAACCGTCTGCTAAATGGCATGTACATGGGGCGGCAGGTAGCTTAATGGTTAAGAGCATTGTGCCAGTAACCGAAAGGTCGCTGGTTCTAATCCCCGAGCCGACTAGGTGAAAAATCTGTCGATGTGCCCTTGAGCAAGGCACTTAACCCTAATTTGCTCCTGTAAGTCGCTCTGGATAAGAGCGTCTGCTAAATGACCTATTTATTACATATACAATATATTGCATAATGTGGTGCAGTAAATCCATGTGAGATGATTTTCTAATATGGGCAGCTACACAAGATGTTTCAAATTCAAGGTCCCATACATGATATTCCATGAACAGCATGTAAGTTATATTGTCCAATGTTAAATACCACCAACTTAAACTGCATTTTATCCCTATTATACTAACACATACAGTAAGTTTGTATTGGCCAGGCCTCTGGGACTTTGTTCAGTTAAGTTCAATACACCTTCATTGGTCTTAGAGCTCATTCATTGCTCTCAAAACACCCTGAAAAGACAGTTGGTCCTAATTTTCTCCCTATACCCCAATCCTTTGATGTTTGCAGATCTAAAGGTTATGAGTATATAACCCTCTAGAGTCGATTGACTCACCGGTGGAACCAATGATGTCGGGTCGTAACGCGGAAGAGACACCCGGTACCAGCTGTGTCACTGTGAATATATTGACCTGAGACAGCCTCTCATTTGCAATTCTGTGATGCGATGGTGGCCTTTTCTCATTTTGGGATGAAGACCGTTCTCCGTCCTCTCTCCTCCGTCCTCCGTCCTCCGTCTCCTCCGTCCTCCGTCCTCTCTCCTCCGTCCTCCGTCCTCTCTCCTCCGTCCTACCGTCTCTCTCCGTCCGTCCTCTCTCGTCCTGGCGCCTCTCATCTCTGACCGTCTCCGTCCTCTCTCCTCCCTCCTCCGTCCTCTCTCCTCCGTCCTCTCTCCTCCGTCCTCCGTCCTCTCTCCTCCGTCCTCCCTCTCCTCCGTCCTCTCTCCTCCGTCCTCCGTCCTCCTCCTCCTCTCCTCCGTCCTCCGTCCTCTCTCCTCCGTCCTCCTCTCCTCTCCGTCCTCCTCCTCTCTCTCTCCGTCCTCTCTCCGTCCTCCTCCTCTCCTCCGTCCTCTCTCCTCTCCTCCTCGTCCTCTCTCCTCCTGTCCTCTTCTCCTCCTCCTCCTCCGTCCTCTCCTCCGTCCTCCGTCCCTCTCCTCCTCCTCCGTCCTCTCTCCTCTCCGTCCTCCTCCTCTCCCTCCTCCTCCGTCCTCTCTCCTCTCCGTCCTCCGTCCTCTCTCTCCTCCTCTTCCTCTCTCCTCTTCTCGTCCTCCTCCGCCTCTCTCTCTCTCCTCCGTCCTCCGTATCTCTCCTCCGTCCTCCGTCCTCTCTCCTCCGTCCTCCGTCCTCTCTCCTCCGTCCTCTCTCCTCTCTCCTCTCTTCTCCGTCATCTCACCTCCTTGACGCGGAAAACCGATAAGTGGCGGAGGAGTGTTTCAATTCGTTAGTAGGCTAACAGAAGACTCCTCCCTTCCACTGAAGCCCTTCATCTACTTGCCCAGAGTCAGATGAACTCAAGGCAGTGTCACAAATGGCACCCTATTCCCTATATAGGGCACTACAAGCCTATGGGCCCTGGTCAAATGTAGTGCACTATATAGGGAATAGGGTACAATTTGGGATGCAGTCCAAGTGATGCATTGGTTAATAATCGAATATAAACTATATATACAAAAGTATGTGGGCACCCCTTCAAATGAATGGATTCGGCTATTTCAGCCACACCCGTTGCTGACAGGTGTATAAAATCGAGCACACAGCCATGCAATCTCCATAGACAAACACTGGCAGTAGAATGGCCTGTACTGAAGAGCTCAGTGACTTTCAACGTGGCACCGTCATAGGATGCCACCTTTCCAACAAGTCAGTTCGTCAAATGTCTGCCCTGCTAGAGCTGCCCCGGTCAACTGTAAGTGCTGTTATTGTGAAGTGGAAACGTCTAGGAGCAACAACGGCTTAGCCACGAAGTGGTAGGCCACACAAGCTCACAGAACGGGACTTCAGAGTGCTGAAACGCTTCGCGTGTAAAAATCGTCTGTCCTCGGTTGCAACACTCATTACCGAGTTCCAAACTGCTTCTGGAAGCAACGTCAGCACAATAACTGTTCGTCGGGAGCTTCATGAAATGAGTTTCCATGGCCGAGCAGCCGCACACAAGCCGACGATCACCATGCGCAATGCAAAGCGTTGGATGGAGTGGTGTAAAGCTCGCCGCCATTGGACTCTAGAGCAGCGGAAACGCGTTCTCTGGAGTGATGAATCACGTTTCACAATCTGGCAGTCCAACGGACAAATCTGGGTTTGGCGGATGCCAGGAGAACGCTACCTGCCCCAATGCATAGTGCCAACTGTAAAGTTTGGTGGAGGAGGAATAATAGTCTGGGGCTGTTTTTCATGGTTCAGGCTAGGCCCCTTAGTTCCAGTGAAGGGAAATCTTACCACTACAGCATACAATGACATTCTAGACGATTCTGTGCTTCCAACTTTGTGGCAACAGTTTGGGGTAGGCCCTTTCCTGTTTTCAGTATGACAATGCCCCCATGCAGAAAGCGCGGTCCATACAGAACTGGTTTGTCGAGATCGGTGTGGATTTGACTGGCCTGCACAGAGCCCTGACCTCAACCCCATTGAACACCTGAATTGGGATGCAGACTGCAAGCCAGGCCTAATCGCCCAACATCAGTGCCCAACCTCACTAATGCTCTTGTGGCTGAACGGAAGGAAGAAGAAGTCCCCACAGAAATGTTCCAACATCTAGTGGAAAACATCTAGTTCGACAAGCAGGTGTTCACATACTTTTGGTCATGTGGAGTACCACGGTGTGTGAAGCTTAGCGATATCTCCAGCTGATTCTACAGTATTGAATGTTATCTTAAACAGATTTTAAAACCCAATAAAAAAAACTATAGATGTATTGCAAAAGAGTAAACACATGAAATAATAATTGTTATTTAAAAATGAGTCGTGAGACACCCTCTGATTGGCACCAAGCCTAAGATCACATTGAAAGCGTCAGCTGGAGTGGTGTAAAGCTCACCAAGCCTATCAGTGTAAGGTGGGGCTCTCCCCATGTCACCGATAGGCCTGTGGGCCACACTAGTTCATTTAGCAAGATTTCTTAGAATTCCATGACATTATTTTATATTATTTTATAGTAATGAAGAATACAATTGGAACAAAGCCGAATAAAATAGAAAGGATATTTTCTCCAAACGATTTGAGGGAGTGTGCACGTGCGGCTATTCTTTGTTGAGCGGTTAGCAAATAAATAGGTACTCCCATATGCTTAATTTAGAGTTATTAATGTAACTTTAATTGTTCTACAAACATTGGGCTACACTTCATCAGTGTCTCATTCACAATTTGACAAGCTCTTGATAATGCCTCGAATTTCCCGGCAGCGTGGCGGTAATAATCCCAAAAGTTGTGGGATGTGATAGATCCCAAATTAGTACAATCACTAGCATAAAAAAATAAAGTTTTATTTAATGAGGCTGACGTAACAGATCAGAACATTTAGCTTAAAATGTGATAAACTATTAGACTATTTCTTCACATTATAAGCGCAGCAATGTGCACACGGCAGTAGGCTATAAGCACAATGTTCCATTAGCAGGAAAACACCATTATCAAAAGTGACCGCAAATGCGATTATGCATGTAATGCTTTTATTGTAAAGGTGCATTTATATGGTGAAAATGATATTCCCCAAACTTGAAACCCACGCGCTGCTTACAGTATGGATGCCAGTTAGGCTCTAAACCCCTTGTAAAGTGGATGAATGTGCTTAATTTTAAGTTATTTGACGACTTTTGTTGTGATACAAACCATATTAAAACATATAGGCCTATGGGCTAGGCTACATGAGGTGGTCGACTATGATTAGAAAAAGTCCCCCAAAAAAGGCATTGTTTCTTACGCTGGGCATCATTCACAAGTGATAATATATAATTCACAAGTGATAGGCTAATATTGTCACCCATCAGACTATTCTTGATTTAATCTTGTCTTTACATATACTAAATAATATATGTGTGAAACACAATGAAGGCTGGTCACCAGCGAAAACACAAGGAAGGCTGGCCACCGGCCTATGCTGGTCTATGCTGGGGTTTTTTCAGCAGTCTCCTCGATTACCTTTTACCTTTTTCAAACGGAGGTGAGAAGAGAGGAAGTAGGAGTTGAGCAAATCTTTGATGTTCACTGATCAACTAATCACCTCTACTGGTGAGGAAGGAAGTAACACTCCTCAGGCATAGAAATATGGGCCCATGACCTGTGGCGGTAATACGGTCACCGCAACAGCCCTAGTCACCACCCATCAATCCCTCTCAGCTTAGGGGTTGTGTCTGGATAGTGCTTGGGTACTCACTCACTCACTCACTCACTCACTCACTCACTCACTCACTCACTCAGGCACTGTCTAAAAATATTACTAGCTGTCAAATCCTTGCTTCCTCTGTCCTTGTTTCCTTCATTCACAACCAGGGGACTCAACCAGGGGACTCAACCAGGGGACTCAACCAGGGGACGCAATCAGGGGACACAATCAGGGACTCAACCAGGGGACTCAACCAGGGGACACAATCAGGGGACTCAATCAGGGGACACAACCAGGGGACTCAATCAGGGACTCAACCAGGGGACTCAATCAGGGACTCAACCAGGGGACTCAACCAGGGGACTCAACCAGGGGACTCAACCAGGGGACTCAACCAGGGGACTCAACCAGGGGACTCAACCAGGGGACTCAATCAGGGGACTCAACCAGGGGACACAATCAGGGGACACAATCAGGAGACTCAATCAGGGGACACAACCAGGGGACTCAATCAGGGGACTCAATCAGGGGACTCAATCAGGGGACACAATCACAGGACTCAATCAGGGGACTCAATCAGGGGACGCAATCACAGGACTCAATCAGGGGACACAATCACAGGACTCAATCAGGGGACTCAATCAGGGGACACAATCACAGGACTCAATCAGGGGACTCAATCAGGGGACACAATCACAGGACTCAATCAGGGGACTCAATCAGGAGACTCAATCAGGGGACACAATCACAGGACTCAATCAGGGGACTCAATCAGGGGACACAATCACAGGACTCAATCAGGGGACTCAATCAGGGGACACAATCAGGGGACGCAATCAGTGGACCTTTCCTCAGTTCTGAACAGTGCTGAATCTGCTAATTACATGAATAAGGGGGACCTGATCAGTAATCCTACATCAGCAATGCTACTCTGACACTTTGGGGGGAAATCGGACCTGAGTTAAGCGAGCGTAAATGGAACGTAATTCTCTTTTAATGCACTTTTCTCTCTGTGCGTATTCTGACCTGGAATTTAAGCATGAGAATAGTGTGTTATTCACCTACTATTCGTTCGAGGTGGAGATCAAATAAATGAAGGTGTGTCTACAGAGACGCCCTGTTCTGACCTTGTCTTCATTCCCTCATAATTCCACCACCTTTACCCGCAAGGTAACCATGAATAAGGTCCAGTGAACCTACCAGTCCCAGGTGGTGACCAGCTGTTCGTTTCCTTGCTTTGCTGGTCACCATGTCCCCAAAACAGAGCGAAGTCTGTCATACCAAGCGAAAACACAATGAAGGCTGTTCCACCCGCAAAAACACATGAGGAGGCTGGTCCACCATCAAAACACAAAGGAGGCTGGTCGCCAGCGAAAACACAATGAAGGCTGGTTCACCAGCCGAAACACCAAGGAAGGCTGGTCACCATCGAAAAACACAAGGAAGCTGGGTCACTCACAAAACCAAGAAGGCTGGTCACCAGCAAAAACACAAGGAAGGCTGGTCACCAGCGAAAACACAATGAAGGCTGGTCACCAGCGAAAACACAAGGAAGGCTGGTCACCAGCGAAAAACACAATGAAGGCTGGTCACCAGCAAAAACACAAGGAAGGCTGGTCACCAGCCTATGCTGGTCTATGATGTTTTTTTTTCAGCAGTCTCCTCGATTACGTTTTTTCAAAAGGAGGTGAGAGAGGACGGAGAAGAGAGGACGTAGGAGTTGAGCAAATATTTTATGTTCACTGATCAACTAATGACCTCTACTGGTGAAGAAGGAAGTAACACTCCTCAGGTATAGAAATATGGGCCCAAGGTCATGTAGATCTGGGGCCCTATTCAGAAAGCCTCTCAGAGTAGGAGTGGTGATCAGTTTAGCCTTTTAGATCACAATTAATAAGAGAGACAGATCCTAGATCATCACTCCTACTCTGAGAGGCTTGATACATACCGCCCCAGTCTCAGAGTGCAGATCTAGGATAAGTTTTGCCTGTAGCCCTTTACACTCTTACCCGTATAGGGGTTGAAAATGGCAGATTTGGGCACTGGTTAACACCTAAATTGGAACGCAGTGGCTGGCTGTACAGTAACATGCTATAAATGACGTCAGAGCTCTGGCTCTGCGTGTTACAGCTCCGTCTGGGTTTTGACTGACAGCCGTTCTGAATTTGAGCACCGCGAGCGACAAGAAGTCGCCCCCATCCCTCCTGCTAATTGAGCAACTTTTTTTTTGTTGTCAGTGAGGGGAAATGCTGTAAATTAAGCGGACTCGATGTATTTTGAAAGATGGGACGTTGAGGATTATAATAAATGCCGCTTTGACGTTATACAAGCAAGGCAAACACCCGCGAGTCCAAATGTACACTTCACAATTTCCATATCATAAAACTAATGTCATATATACAGTGTCACCGTTAATGATCACTATGTTTGATGTACAGTTAACCAGATGATGTGTCTATTGTTTCGCTGAATTGCTTTGTGAAAGCCTAACACTCTAATATAGTATTTTATAACTTGGCTTTAGTCATGTTGGCAATAGAAGAGGCTTTCAAATGTTGCCCACCTGACCCAGATTGAGATTGATATAATGGGACTGTTTTTGGATTGCGTAAACAACGACAGTAATTATGTTGATGGCGGGATGCAGGGGTTGTGTTCCAAACTAAACACCTATAAGTGTGCTTGCTCTAGTTCCTCAAACTAATTTTTAGTTGAAGACTCTTCTTTGACTCTTAAAAGTACATTGAAATTACATATTTTAATCAATAATATGATTTGATGCATAAAAGAGAAACATAAAAAAATATATGATTTGTCCTCTGATTTGTCCTGGTGTCCAAGGTTCAGGTGAGCATAGCCGAACTGATAACTCCATCAGGTAGCATCTAACGGCAACTGAGCAGGCTACCGAGTTCCACTTCCTCTTATCCTGTCAGGCTACCGTGTTCCACTTCCTCTTATCCTGTCAGGCTACCGTGTTCCACTTCCTCTTATCCTGTCAGGCTACAGTGTTCCACTTCCTCTTATCCTGTCAGGCTACCGTGTTCCACTTCCTCTCATCCTGTCAGCGAGCTACGAGTTTCCAATTCCTCTCATCCTGTCAGGCAGCTACAGTGTTCCCACTTCCTTTGCCCTTCTGTTACAGCAACCAGCAGCTACAGTGTTTTTGTCAGTACTGTCAAAATGTTTTCTGTTATTGCTAGGATTCAAAACTCTGTAGAACCAAACTGTTTATTTGAGTATCTGGTATTTCAAATACTTTTTCTGTTTATTTGAGTATCTGGTATTTCAAATACTTTTTCTGTTTATTTGAGTATCTGGTATTTCAAATACTTTTTCTGTTTATTTGAGTATCTGGTATTTCAAATACTTTTTCTGTTTATTTGAGTATCTTCAAATACACTGCCCAAAACAAGTTATTTTATTTATTATTTATTTATTAGTAAAAACAGATAGTCTGCCAAATTGTATTGGACATTTAAAATACTATTTTCAAATACCTGGGTTAAAAGCTTGCACTGTGAAAAAAAATCTACTTGTTTCAACTAATTATTATTAAGCAACGTGATCCACAGCCTTTTTTATTTTGTTTACTCAACTTTTCGGTCCAAGTGTCTGAACAACAACAAATAGTTGGCCCAAACTTGGCTCCAACTTGAGAAAAACGAAGGTAAAAAGCACTGTGTGTGTCACTAGTTCCACAGCCCTTTTTAGTTAAGATGCCCAAATAATCATTTCTAGTTAAATGAACATATGAGACAATTTGAGCAAACACATTTCAAGTTTACTAGATTTTGGTATACGTTTTTCTCAAGTTGGAGCCAAGTTTGGGCAAGACATTTTTTTTTTGGTTCAGGTAACACTTGGACTGAAAAGTTGAGTAAAAAAAAAAAAAAAAAAGACAGTGGAACTTACTTAATATGAATTAGTTGAAACAAGTCGTTTTTTATTTGTTTCATTTACTTATATATTTTTGAGGGCAAATCACACTCAAATGAACTTTTTGTTATTGTTGATGTCGTTAACGTTATTGTTGTTATTGATGTTTTTATTGTAATACCCGTTATATTTGTACTATACTCTTCTTATTTTATTCTATTGAATGAAAGTTGTTGTTTTTTGGAGTCAGTGTACTTGAGTATTTTCAGTGTATTTCCAAATACATTTCAATTTTCAACTACTTGTCTTTTCAAATAAAATATATCTGAACACTTACTTAAAATGTACTGTACCAGTCAAAAGTTTGGACACACCTACTCATTCAAGAGTTTTTCTTTATTTTTACTATTTTCTACATTGACAGATTTGCACACTCTTGGCATTCTCTCAACCAGCTTCACCTGGAATGCAGTCTTGAAGGAGTTTCCACATATGCTGGGCACTTGTTGGCTGCTTTTCCTTCACTCTGCCGTCCGACTCATCCCAAACCATCTCAATTGGGTTGAGGTTGGAGGATTGTGGAGGCCAGGTCATCTGATGCAGCACTGCCATCACTCTCCTTCTTGGTAAAATAGCCCTTACACAGCCTGGAGGTGTGTTGGGTCATTGTCCTGTTGAAAAACAAATGATATTCCCACTAAGCCCAAACCAGATGGGATGGCGTAGGGCTGCAGATTGCTGTGGTAGCCATGCTGGTTAAGTGTGCCTTGAATTCTAAATAAATCACAGACAGTGTCACCAGCAAAGCACCCACACACCATAACACCTCCTCCTCCATGCTTTATGGTGGGAACTACACATGCGGAGATCATCCGTTCACCCACTCCGTGTCTCACAAAGACACAGCGGTTGGAACCAAAAATCTCAAATTTGCCGACCAAAGGACACATTTCCACCTGTCTAATGTCCATCACTTGTGTTTCTTGGTCCAAGCAGGTCTCTTCTTCTTATTGGTGTCCTTTAGTAGTGGTTTCTTTGCAGCAATTCGACCATGAAGGCCTGATTCACACAGTCCCCTCTGAACAGTTGATGTTGAGATGTGTCTGTTACTTGAACTCTGTGAAGCATTTATTTGGGCTGCAATTTCTGAGGCTGGTAACTCTAATGAACTTATCCTCTGCAGCAGAGGTAACTCTGGGTCTTCCATTCCTGTGGCGGTCCTCATGAGAGCCAGTTTTATCATAGCGCTTGATGGTTTTTATGACTGCACTTGAAGAAACTTTCAAAGTTCTTGAAATGTTCTGCATTGACTGTCCTTCATGTCTTAAAGTAATTATGGACTGTCATTTCTCTTTGCTTATTTGAGCTGCTCTTGCCATAATATGGACTTGGTCTTTTACCAAATAGGGCAATCTTCTGTATACCCCCCTACCTTGTCACAACACAACTGATTGGCTCAAACGCATTAAGAAGGAAAGAAATTCCACAAATTAACTTTTAAGAAGGCACACCTGTTAATTGAAATGCATTCCAGGTGACTACCTCATGAAGCTGGTTGAGAGAATGTCAAGCTAGTGCAAAGCTGTCATCAAGGCAAAGGGTGGCTATTTGAAGAATCTCAAATATAAAATATATTTTGATTTGTTTAACACTTTTTTTGGTTACTACATGATTCCATATATGTTATTTCATAGTTTTGATTACTATTATTCTACAATGTAAAAATTTTTAAAAATAAAGAAAAACACTTGAATGAGTAGGTGTGTCCAAACTTTTGACTGGTAGTGTATGTTAAGGGAATTTAGATACAGTACATAATCCAACACTCCCACACACCACCTCACGTGTGCTAAATGTCTGTCATACCATTCTAGTGTTGTCCTGTTTTTAAACTATATGCTGATGTAAAGGATGTCACGCTGCTTGCTTAGAGAGTACCACTTCCTCCTGATTGGGCTCACACCGAGGCTCCAACCCAGGAC